TTCATTTCTCATTTATGTTGATTACTAACATCAATGGTAATTCGTTACACTAGGATTTATTTTTGACATTTTTTCTTCTGAATATTGCTTTATCAATGCTAATAAAAATGACGTTTTTGAGCTAAGATAAAGTTAAGATATTCAAATTTCTGTTTATTCCTAATAACGCAACTTCTGTAAATATTTTCAAAGCTAAATGTTAATGATAATGCATCTTTCTACTCCATAATTAGATTCAATCAATGATTCTTCATTCATGTCATATTCATATAGCTATACTAACTAGTGGGTATGTTTGATTAAATATTATTGTCTGATGATATTAATTTTTTTTTCTTATAGATCAACATCTGACTTTATTCTTTCAACATATATTACACCAATCACTCAATTAGCTAAACAAATTCAAGTATTTGTGTAAGTATTTATTCGAGAATTGTTTATAATTTATGTTTTGATTACTTAGCTTAAATCATTTAGTAGTCTTGATGAGTTTGCAAGCACGTAGCTCAACTAGTACAATAAGGTTCTTCATTAAAATATGTTTTGACTCCAATACCATCATGGGTAAAACTATTAATTAAACTCTTTATTTGCTCATTTTGATAAAAATTTTAGAATGAAAAAATGTTGCTTCGTCGATGTTCATCACTTAATAGTATTAGGTTAATATTCTTTTGTTCGATTTATTTTGACTTATCGATGTTGTTCTATTATTTAGTGCACAATTAGTTTTACAACGTTTGAAAAATGCCGATCTATCGACAGTAAATCCTGATGTATTAATTAGTCAATGTCCAGACATATCTATGATCTATTTGAAGGTAAAACTTTTTTTTACTTTAAAAGATATTATTATGTTTTTGATTTATTTTTTAGACATTCTTGTTCGATATGCACAAAAGTACTTGAAATAGTTTATTGTATAAACTTTTAGTAATATTTATCTTGTAACTTTATAAAAGAAATGTTTAGAATTAGATAAATAAATTTCTTTTTTGATTTAGAAAGAAGGAAAAATGTAATAATTGATAGGAAACATACAACGTTGCATATCTATTCGTATGCAAAAACATACAATTTACGAATGTGTGTTGGACCTAGTTTTGTGGTTTCTAGTTCCAGTCATAACCTCCGTAGATTTGGTCCAGTCTCGGTCTGGATAATTTTTTTAAGCGGTCTCACACATCTCTAATACAATCCCAAAATCTTTTTAATATATTTAAGGTGTTAGTTAAATTAATTGGCCCATGTCGATTTTTTTAAATAGATGGAACAAAAACGAATGAGATTTTACTAAATACATCAAACGTTTGTTTTTCGTTTATACACATCCAAGAACTGCACTTTATTCAAATGAGAATAACTAGCATATTTGAAGTCTTGCTTGAAGTGATCATTGACTTCTCCCGTCATTGATAGCTCTGAGAAGAGAGTTACCGTAAAATTCTTTTTTGACGTGAAGATGTCAAGATTTCCGAAAGATATGTGAAGTTGTGATATTAGGAGGACACGTCAAACTTGGACACTACTACGTCAAGAAAGAAGCATTATTTAGAATTATTTGTTTATAGGTTACAGATACATATTCCATTGGAAGCTTGTCTAGTCTCGAGATATTCTATGTACGAACAAACTTTTCAATTTAAAAAAAATTTCGTCCTCAAGGGTTAATAGACTATTCAGGTCGATCGTTTGAGCATATATTTGATCAAAAAATGATTTGTCAATTGAAGACGCTTTCTTATCAGTCAAAAGATGTCTAGTGGTAGTAATACTTCCGGTACATTCTACGAACTGTGTATTTGATTGACCATGAGAAGGAAGCAACATTTTTCTGTTTCAAATCAAATCACAAGAAAATAAAAAAGGCAAAAGATGAAATAATCACGTAATTGATTAAATAGTACAACTGACATTCTTTTAGAATATCGCTTCGAAATAGGGATGAGTGTGCTTGACGAGAAATCACACATACCTTGAGGTCAAGTATTAGAAGTATCAGTTTAGAAATAGTTCAGGTCATTCAGAGATATTGAATTGTATTCGTTTGTCTTGTAGAACACGGGAAAGATATTGCACTCCTGCAGCACTGTTTGCATTCCCACATAGGTTCAGTGTGGTCAGTGTCTATTTTGAAAAGACAGTGAATGATGCATTGAGAAGATGAAGATACTACTTAGTTTTCTTCCAAAGCTTTGGTAAGATGTTGTATTCCGTCATCATCAATTTGACTCATATTGAGGACAAGTTTGATCAGTGTCTGCTTCCAACAGACAGTGAAGGATAGATATACAAGATGAAGAGGGTGTGGATGTGGGTCCTTTTTTAATTATAGAATTTGATAAGTTTTTCATGTCTTATGCATGAATATCTTTCATTAAAATCTAAGAGAAAATAAATTACGAATATTTATATCAGATGATTTTTTCTTCGTAAATGGTTTCGCTCATGTTCTTAACAATGAATCAAATTTTCATCTTCGATTTATCAAGCTGTTTCCAATTGGCAGACATTCAGAAGAAATCCAGATAATTATACTAGATATGAAAATATAGTTAAATTATTGAAGAAAAATGTGACAGAATGAAGAGTATTGTGACCAAACAAGTGAATAACAAAAGTAGTTTTGATTGAACCGATTGATAAGTCATATCTAGAACATAATCAAGAGCAAAAATCTAACAAGTGTCAAAAAAGAGAGATCTCGAAATGAAGTTCACAAGACAATCACACTTTCAACGTAGGAGAAGATAGATATGCGTTTGTGGAAAATTCGTACAACATCAAATAAGTGGAAAGGTAGTTCGATTTCTTAGATGCAAATAAGCAATACATATAAATACAAGTCATGAGAGGCGACAAACAATTACAACAGCAATCTTCTAACTACATAAACAAACGATAGAGCGTAGACTGTTCATTGACTGTCTTCTCTACAGCGTTGTTGCTCTCTGTTGAACAGTTGGAAAACAGGTAATATCGGAAGAAAATGGATATACTCGATTGCGTCCTCTTCTTATGTTTGCTGACAAATTAATTAACGTCGAATGCACTTGTTTGCGAAAACTTTTCGAGGATATACAATAGCAGTAGAATGAACTCTAAAAATACAGCAAACAAGACATACATGTGTAATTAAACATTATTTTAACTCACCGAAAAGGCACCATAGAAATAAATGGTAGAAAAGGTAGACACCAATTGCTCTTGAGCAACACGAGAAGCTGTCTTAAAAATACGGGCTGTAAGCAGAATGTATAATTGAATGATCGCATGGGGAGTCATGAACACAATGACAATGACAATATTGTACAGCGACATTCGTATCATCTGTCGAATGAGATTGGAGTGAAAACGTCGTTGTTGTTGTAAGTTGTTCGAATGTGTATTGCAACAGGTGAGTAGACCAAAGACGGAGATCACTGCAACTGGAATGGTGACATAAAGGCAAAGATTGATAAAATAGAGTTGATATTGGTTATATGCCGCATTTAAAGTGTTACATGCAATAGCTCCCATCGCTGTCACTACCAGATCTTGGTAGAAAGCAAAGGGCAACGAATGAAGAAAGCAGAAAACGAGAATTTCGATCAAGATACGGTGCGTATATTGGATATTGCTCTTCTGGCGTAGTCTGGCCGATGAAGATGAACAGAAAAAACTTTGATCGATTGCACGGCAAGTAAACTGAATGAGATTATATTGTTCATGGTAATCCAGCACCGCCGTATTTTATACCACGGTCGATTTACTGGAGCCCAATCGATCTGAAAGCCTGCAGCCAGAATACGCGTACAGAGGCCGACAAAACGAGCATTCAGCTCTAGTAGAGCTTTGGCCAGCATATAGAGTGAACAGGAATTGTGTCTGTAGTTACTCAGATAGAAGAAAGTGATCACGTTAAGAAAATTACTGAAAATGCCAGTGACGAAGAAGAAAAATCCAGATACCAGATTTAGATACCGTGAGACAACTTGAAGTTCGATGATGAATAATGAGTCAACAGTATTGGTGCTGTTTGATACCATCTCGATAAACAACCTTTTTTTAAATCAGCATCGTCTTTGGACAGACAACTTCACTCTGATTCATAAAACAAAGCAATAATATCTATCGTGTCAAATCAAGAACGAAGAAAGACGTCATGCTACTTCAGCAGCCCTTCTCGTATGCACAACATTGCATAATGAAAGACTTGCACAGAGGCGAAATTGAATTAATTTGCAATTAAAAGAACTCGACGGATAGATTGCATCTTAGATATAGATATTTTCAGTTTTTCTTAGCATCGGAAGAGATATAAGAGCATTGCCGCGAACATTTTATAATACTTAACTTTGTCATATCTTTCGATCAAGTAAGCACTTTTGTAAATGCCGAAAAGTAGAGTTTTAACATTTTCCGGTAATTGTTATGTTACAAGTATGCGAAGGTTTTTCTGCGCTATCCTCACATAGATGACTCTTGGCCACAGTCGAAATGCCGTTTGAATTTTAAACTTAGACAATCGTATTTTCCTTACCGAGAAGAATCTTAGTGAAACGGTTTCCCCCCGAACCTGTTGTTCGATATTTAAACGATTCCGTTTTTATTTTTTTATCCAGCTTCTCGTCTCTGAGCCTCACTTATGAAAGTGAGAACTATATGTGAGTCAGCTCCTTAACGTTGAGCAAATTGGTCGCTCAGGAAGACAAAAAAATGTGATTGTATCTCTTTCTCACATTAAAGAGACTATCTTCAGTCAGTAAATTCAATAGAAAAACGCGTCAAAAATCGAACACGTTATAATTTTCAGACGGACTTTTAATCTTTTAAACTTTTATCGCGTATAATAACTACCGTAGTAAAAATACAAAACTTAACGGTATTATTATTTTTTAGATATATCGTAAGAAATGTTTTTATTCTATTAATTATTTTTATGCACTTATAACGCATTAAATTATGCACTTTACAATTATTGTCATGATAGCCTCTAAATAGTTTTCCTTCTACTCTCATTCTGTTATCACTATCATGTCAAATAGATTGGATGTTTTTCCAATCTGTTTAAAACTAACCCATAAAAAAATTTTGCATTTGGCTTAAGTTTTCCAATATGAAATACGATACAATTTCTGTACTGTGCAGCTTGAAGTAGATAGAAAACAAATAAATTCTACTATCATGACAATTTTTCGAGAAGTTTAGAAGTTTAGAATTGCCGGTTTTTCTCTTAGTGTTTGTTTAACTTGAAAACATGGGTGTATATCAATGCGTACCCAGTACGTAGGTTTCATTACACTTCGATATTTTCGTTTGAGACTAACGTATATGTACGTAAAACTGTCTGATAAGTATAAACTATCTTTATTCGCTTTTTCTGGCTATTTTCAGTGATATTAGTGGATGGAATTTAAAGATGGATGACGTTTCTTTTCCATTCTCGTTACCGCAAACAAAGAATAAACTACTGATACAGTTGATTAATTTCGAATAATGCTCACCAATTTAAATGAAGGTCACAATCTGCTTAGTGTTGAGAGAAGATAAGGATATTTATTTATCAACTAAGTCAAACTGTATCCATCTTTAAGAAGAGAAGATGCACTAACTTATATTACAAAACAGCTCAAAGCAGCAGTTTGTTACACAAACAAAAAAGAAATTGCAAAGTAAGAAGATAAAATAGACATATAAGAAAAAAATTAGAACTAGAAATGACATGATATCAGATAAAAAAAAATTAAAAAAAAAGATATGGTTGAATACTCAAGAAAAAACAAAAGAAAGACGCTCAACCAGTTCAAAAATATTTCCGAAATAGATCATTCGTTCTGCTGAGTAATTCTAGAGAGGTCGTAGCTGATAAAAGCTGGAAGAAGATCGTCAACAAAGATTGAACTAATAAAACACATAAATGCTTTTTG